CCCCCCCCCCCCCCCCCCCCAAAAAAACCCCCAAAATAAACAAAAACCCAGCAAAACTCTCCCTATAACCATGGAGTATTTTTTGGATAATCATGGAGCATTTTCTTTAGGACGGTGGTGTCCAGGCCATCTTAAATGCGTCTCGACTATTCCACCGGGTACCTGCTACCACCCAACAGTAGAGGTACCCACCAACTCTACCCACCAAGCCGTAGGTAGATGAGGAGAAATAACCCGGTGCTTTTTTTTTGCCTCAAGCGGGGTTAGAACTTGAGTCATAGTTCTCCACCCACTCTATTGACCACTAGTCCACACCCTTGAATGCTCTATGGAATATAATTCATAATGTAGAAATTACAAGTTACACATAGAAAGTGCATATTTCGTCATTAGATATTTCCTCTAAAACTTAAAACTCATTTAACATTCTACTAACAGATCATCCAAAAAAGGAGACCCACGAAAAAAAATATTCACAGAGATAAGAGTGCGTGTGTGTGAAAGAGAGAGAGAGAGAGAGAAAGAGGAGTACAAGTAGGACGGCACTGGTAGAAGCTACGATTATCGGGGCGAACCCAATCAGCATCACCAATGGGAGTTCTCTTCTTCTTCCGCGTTGCCGGAGACGGCGAATATGTCGCCGGCGTAGACCCTGTTTTTCCGGCCATCAGCTTCTGAAATGCTCTGTTTTTTCTTTCCCACAAAGTATGTGAAAAGTATTAACGGCTGAAGTGGGTTTCAATTCGTTGAGAGAAAAGAATGAGTTCTTAGGGTTTTAATTATACCCAAAAAAAAAAAGTTAAAACGGATAAATTTATTATCTGTGTTAAATAAATGTTTTATTGACATTTAGGCTCAATTCTTGTTATAAAATCCGTGGAAGAAAAAGTATAAATATGTGTTTCCTATTACTTAAACTAGTCTTATAGTGAATAAATTTTAAAAAATCATATCAATAATATTATTTGACTTACTATATTACTTAAATAAGCGTAGTTTTAAAAAAGAATATGTAGAAAGTTATAATTTAAACGATCTTACATTTCTTATAAATTAGAGTATAGTTTACTGCTAATTTCAATATATAAATTTAAGTATCTTATGTATGTTTATCTTGTCAAATATTGTAATTGGGTATGTGATTTAATATGGCCATATATTACAATATATAAATAAAAAATTAAATTATGTTATATATTATTACTATGAATTATTATTAATTTTAAATGTAATCATGTCGTTTATTTAAAGATATTTTCTTACTCGTCCTAATGTGCTTATGTGTAGTTTACAATAGTAAACTTTAATGTTTAGAAATTTAAGAAATAAATTTATATAGCTGAAATATTAGGAGTTTCCACATAGTTCAAATAAGAAAAGATTTAATATCAAAATTTTAATGTATTTCACTTAAATATTAGAAAAAATATTAATTTACACTTTTATCTAATGTGAAATTATTTTTTAAAGAGTAAAAAATACGAACGACATTCTAAGGGATTTCGTGCTTTTAATGTAGTATATAATATATAAACAGATATAAATATAGATAATTTATATTAAAAAAATTAATTAATTTTGATTAAATTTTAATTGATATTAAAATCCTAAATATAAGGACTTAGTTCAAATAAAAAGGATAAATTTAATAAACAAAATTTTAGTTGATCTCAAGATACTAAATATTAGGAAAACAACATAAACAAATTATACTTAATTTTCAAAAACTTTATGCTCAAGAACTCCTTCTACGTGTCTTCTTGACAAGTAGTGGTAGTTAATGTTTAGCCTTAAAAGTTTCTAATTTTAGTATTACTAATTATAAATATGTTGCATACTTTAATTAGGAAAGAATTTATGTAAGGTAAATCTTAATCGATTTTAAAGTTCTAAATATTAGGACTCTATAAATGTTTCAAAAAAGAAAAATAATTAATAACTAAAATTTTAATTGATTTTAAGGTNAAATTCTAATTTTGGTACTACTAATTATAAATGTGTTACACACTTTAATTAGGAAAAGAAATTATGTAAGGTAAATCTTAATTGATTTTAAAGTCCTAAATATTAGGATTCTATAAATGTTTCAAAAAAGAAAAAAATTAATAACTTAGATTTTAATCGATTTTGAGGTCCTAAATATTAGGAAAATAATTTAAATTACAATCTTGTCCAATATGAAATCTATTTTTAAAGGGTAAAAAAGGCTAACGACATTTCGCTAAGGATTTTCGTGCATTTAATATAATATATATAGATATAGAAGTTAGATTTTAAAAGTAAATTATAGTAGTTGAATATATATTCTTTTGACGGTCAAGAATATTCTATACTCGAAGAAGAGAAAATTATTACGTAAAATTTGTAATTTAACAAGATATTAGTGGTAAGATTATTACGTAAAATTTGTAATTTAACAAGATATTAGTGGTAAGATTATTACGTAAAATATATATATAATGAAGAAGTCCAGGAATATATATTTTTTCCATGAGCAAAATAATCTTATGTTCTATAAATGACAAATCAAACGTTATCGTCTAGACGTCTAGTTTAGTCTTACCACTAATATCTTGTTAAATTACAAATTTTACGTAATAATTTTCTCTTCTTCGAGTATAGAATATTCTTGACCGTCAAAAGAATATATATTCAACTACTATAATTTACTTTTAAAATCTAACTTCTAAACACAAATTATGTAAACAAGACTGTACACTCACTTTAAACGTAATTAAAAGTAACTACTCTTAATCAGTGGATTTTGTAGCTTGGGACATACAGATTGTATACAAGTTAATTCACACAAATAGTGTAATTAATATAAATTATTTAAAAATTATTAACAAAAATAAAATAACTTACAGAAATAGATAATAGTTAAATTCAAGATACTTGTTTTCGCTACACACCAAAAGGAGTAATGGCATTTTGCAAGTCAAATATTTTTCATTAAATATAATTTGCTTATATATATTAAATAAAATAATTATGATTATTCCTTGTTATGTAACTGCAGAATATGTACATTTTATTTTTTAATAATAAAATTTAGATCTCCAAACTTATACCAAAAGTTAAATGGAAAAAAGGCACTAAGATTTTAAAAGGCATTATGTCCAAAATATTTTTTTTATTGAAAAATGACAGAATATGCTCATTTTGAAGCTTTTATCCCCCTTCTTATGCCTAAGCTCCATCTAAGTCCTTCTCCTTTTTTTCATTTTTTGTCTTGTTCACTTCCTTTTACTTTTTTCTATTTTATTGTTGTTTTCACGCTTTTTTATTTCTAGTATAATTTTGCACATATTTTTATTTTTATTTTGTTAATTTATTTATTTTTGTTTTGATTGACGAGACGCGAGACGGTGTTAACTGGATGTTGGTGGTTTGGAGACAAGCATTAGAGTCAAAAGATTTCAAGTTGAGTAAGACCAAAATAGAATACTTTGAGTGCAAGTTCAGCAACAAGAATCATGATGCACACGTGTTAGAGACGCTTGACACTCAAGTCCTCCTCAAGAAAGGAAGTTTCAAATATCTCGGATCAGTAATTCAATGTAATGAGGAGATTGACGAGGATGTCACATATCGTGAAGCGAGATGGATGAAATGGAGGCTCGCATCTAGTGTTCTGTGTGATAAGAATGTGTTGCTTAGACTTAAAAGTAAGTTGTACAAAGTGGTGGTTGGGCAGATTATGTTATGTGAGACAGAGTGTTTGCCAGTTAAGAACTCCCATGTCCATAAGATGAACGTAGTAGAAATGAGAATTATGAGATAGATGTGCGGCCATACAAGGAGAGATAAGATTAAGAATAAAGTTATTCGTGACAAGGCGGGAGCGGCTCCAGTGGAGGACAAGATACGAGAAGTGAGGTTAAGATGGTATAGGCATGTGAAGAGGAGAGGCATAGATGGTAAAAAGGTATGAGAAATTGGCCTTGGTGGCATGAAGAGAGGTTGAGGTAGGCCTACAAAGTACTAGATGAGGTGATTAGGCAGGACATGACCCTTGATAGGAAGGTGTAGAGGTCGAGGATTAAGGTAGAAGGTTAGTGAAAAGTTTAGTGTATTGCTTTGCCATACCAATTGTATTAGTATTAGTCTTGTATTTTTATTCATAGAGTTATATTTCTATTTATTATTTCTTTTGTTTCAGTTATCTTATTATATCGGTGTTGTTACTGTTTGTTGTTGCTACTTGTTTTCATTTGTCCTTTAGCCGAGGGTCTTCGAAAATAGACTTTGTAACTGCACAAGATAAGGGTAATATCGGCGTACACACTACCCTCCCCAGACCCAACTTGTGGGATTATACTAGTGTATTGTGGTGGTGATTTTTTTGTTTTTTTTTGTAGTTATTTTTTCTTCTTTTATTTTCTTTTTTATTCTTTCTAGTAACAATCCCTCACTTTTTGTTAGGATTGTGCATAATTTGGTAAATATCGAATTACCGTACCGAAATAAAAAAAATTAGTATTTGGTATTCGGTTTAAGTTTTTAAGAGAAATTAGTATTATGTATGGTATTCAGTATTTAAGAATAAAATACTGACACTGTACCGAAACATATATTAAGTTACACAATATACATATGATCTAGTATAACATAAATATTAAAGATCTAAATTTACTTTCCGTTATTTTATAGTTTTCTTTTGTCTTTACCACCTTTTTCCCCACTATACTTGCCTTTCCCCCTTTTCTTTGGTGTGCCTACTTACGTTTCAACCTTTCTCCTGTCTTGGTTTAACATTTTAGTTTTCATATTTTTTTTTCACTATATTATAATATTTTTATTTTTGCATTTCTGAATACCTTGCTTAAGAATATTATAGTCTACGACTTTATGTACTAGTTAATATTCGAGCCAAACGAACTGAAGTTACCAAACCGAATAAACCGAAAGGAGAAAAGCCGAACCATACCAAATTAGGTATGATATAGGTATAATATTTTAAGAAACCGAATATCAAAAATACTGAACTGAAATATCTAAATACATTATCGTACGGACCGGCGAACACCCCTACTTTTTGTTACTTTACTTTGTTGTCTTAATTTTTACTATATTTTTTAATTTTTTAAACTTTGTTCTTTCCAGTAAAATCTCTTCATCCAAAATAATTGTCACTCTTTTTTACTTTTTTTTATCCTTTTCCTGTTTTATTGTTATTTTTTTACTTTATTTTTTCTCTTTTAATAAATTTGCACTATTTTTTAGTTTTTTATTTTATTTTATTTTTTGTAGTTTTTTAATTATTTTTTGTTCTCTCTAGTAACAATCCCTTACTCTAGCACTTTCTTTTTCTTGTCTTTATTTTTATTAATTTTTATCTTTTCAGTAAAATCTATTCGTCCAAAATATTTGTCATTTTTTACCCCCTTTTATTATTATTAGATTAGAGTACGCACATTGTGCGTGTATCTAATCTAAAAGAGTAAAAAGTATTTTAAAAATTATATAAATATTATATTTTAGTTATTATAGATAAAAAAAAATTAAGAGAGATATGATAGAAATCAAAAGGTCCTTATATAAAAAAAGGATGCTTTGTCCGATAATGTTCGCTTGGACATTAAAATATATCAACAACACTGATATCAATGATACAATAACTAAATTATATAAAGCCAACCTATTTAGTTTATTTGATAACAATATGAAATAAGAGCACGAAGAAATGTGTTTGATCACATTAGCTAGCTCAATAAAAGAAAAAATTCTATCTCACAAAGTTCTCAAGTGCCTT